GCGGTCACTGCTGGGGACTCCGCGCAGCAGCCGCAGCGCCCGGCGGACGCTTGGTGGAGCCCTTGCACCGCAGTAGAAAGGGGGTGGGGGCTGGGGTGAGAGCGTGGGAGGGGCCGGGGCATCGTCAGGAGTACGAGTCTCCTGTGCGGTCAGCGAGGGCCGAGAGACTGTGGTCACCGCGGGTTTGGGGAGGGGAATGTTAACATCTGACTGGGGAGTTGGTGTGCACAGGGCGCATGCTCAGCGTCTCCCTCGTATAATCTCATTCACTTTTCACAGTATCTTATGGAATAGAAACTCTTATTCCCATTTCAAACGAGGGAACTGAGGCCCAGAGAAATTAAGTAACTGCAGGAGGTCACAGAAGGTCACAGAGCCGAAGGATCTTGGGCAGGGCGTGGTGGGCCGCGAGGTTCTAATGCAGACGCCCCGGCAGCGTCTTATGTTGGCTTCTATCCCCGCCGGCTCCAGCTGCTCCTGCTCACCCCGGTTCACCGCCCTTGGCCCAGCCGTGTCAGGATCCAGGGCCGGTTCCACAGACAGGGAGGCTGAGGCCCAGGCACTTCCGCTGAATCCACGTGCCCCTTCTGTCTGCCAGCCCCGGGGTCCAGGCAGAGCCCCCTCCTCGGTGGTGGTCCTGCTCATCCTACTCCCCACCTCCACGTCGCTCCCAGAGCCCCCCGGCCCTTCGGCAGATCCGCACCTGCTTTAGAAGTCACCATGGTGAAAGGGTGAGGTCTCGGGGAGCGAGGCACCCTGGCATCCATCCGTGACCCCTCCCAGGCACAGTCCTGACATGTGCTCAAGGGCGTCAGGACCACTTGGCTGCCCGTGGCAGAAACCCAGCTCAAACTGGCTGTAGCCAAAGAAAAGACGTTTATGGGCTTGTTAAACTGGGACGTCCCAGAGCAGGTGGATGTCAGTCGAGGCTGGATCAAGTCGCACGGGACGTGATCAGGATACAGTCTCTCCATCTCTGTGTGGGCTTCTTGCTCAGGCAAGATTTCTCCAAATGGCAGCAAAGACCGTGCAGGTGGCTCCACCGATAACCTTGCATCTCGGCCAGCCCAGCTGCAGACACTTTCTCCAGCCACAGACCCATCTGTCACTGGATGACATGGATCATGTGTCTCTCCTTGCACCAACCATGTGGCTGGGGGTGGAGTGAGCGGAGCTGCCTGCGCTGACCGTGGGAAGGAAGGGGTCTGTGGGGGGTTCCGGGGGTTGGGTCAGAGTCAGGAAGCGGGGGTGGCAGGCAGGGCTGGATCAAGGGGCTCAGGAGGGATGCTCGGGCGGCCGACCCCACTGTGAAACGGAGTTCTGGAATGCTGGCTGAGGGGCTGTCGGAGGCATAGTGCAGTGACTAACACCAAAGGGGGGTGACAAGAGCTGGCTTGTGACAGTGTCCTGAGGTCCCCAGCATAGGAAGGGCCTACAGACAGGCCATGGGTCTCCCTAGACAGACCCAGGGGGTGGCTGGTGAGTGGTGGAGGACCCAAGATGGTTGGGGGACACGCCCTTCACGGGGGGGTCTGTGTGGCGCCATGGCTGCTGCGCCATGGCTGCTGCGCTCCCTTCAGGCCTGCTACTGAATGCTGGCACTTGAAGGCGGCCAGGATCCAAGCGGCAACGAGAGGCCACTTTTCACCCATCAGACGGGCAACCTGTGTGTCATCAGGAGCCCAGCAGGGCGTGGGAAGTGAGGACTCTGCCAGCAGAGGGAGTGCCAGCTGGTGCAGCCTCGCTGGAGGGCCATTGGGGAGCAACGATTAAAATTTAAAAAGTGCATTTTCTATGGCCTAGTGCTTCTGGTGTCTTAGAAAAACAGTCCTGTCTTTGCACCGGTCCGCCGATGCAGGCTGACCAGAAGCTGCCCAATGTCCGCCCAGGACTCGTTGGCTGAACCAGGGCCTTGTGGACGGTGGTGCTGGCTGTGGCCAAGGACGTGGGTGAGGGCGGGAGTCCCACCTGCGCCCTGTTTGCCCAGCCGTGACTCCTGGATCGGGTTGTGTTCCTTTGGAGAAACCCACAGGCACTACGTCAGTCGGTGGCTGCCCTGGACTGAGCACACCGGGAGAAGCCGGGGCGACAGAACACCCCCCAAAGCCGGAAAGAAGGGCCAGGGCCGGGGCGCCAGAGGGCTACGCCCACACGGAGCGGAGCAAACCTCGCAGCACAGTTGCATATTCACATTTGCCACATGTACACGCGCATGCGCACACACGCACGCACGCAGACACGCACCTGCATCGTCCATGGGCCCCTCGACCCAGTCCCGCCTGCCCTGCGCCCTCCCCCTCTCTGCTCAGCCCCTCCCGTTTCCTTGAGAAAAGGCCCCCTTTGTCCCTGCGGCCCCTGGAGCACGGAAGCCAGGTTGGGCCGCTGTCTCTGTCTTGTTCCACCCTCGGCCACATGGTTGGTTCAGGGAAGGACATGCCACCCACATCCTGCAATGAGAGCCGGCCTGGGCTGTGACTTGAGCTGAGAGTCTGCAGGCTGGGCCGGCTAAGCTGGGTGCGGGCCGCAGCCCTCCTGGGCCGTGTGTGTGCGTATGTGTGTGTGTGAGTGCGTGTGTGCGTGTGTGTGCGTGTGTGTGTGCGTGCGTGCGTGCGTGTGTGCGTGCAGCAGAGGAAAAGGCCTGCAGGAAATGCATTAAAGCACAGGTGATGACCGCAGGCGAGAGGGAAGGCGGGTAGCCGTGGCCGGAGCTGGCCCTGACCCCTGAGCACTCCCTCCCACACACTCCAGGACCCCAGGGTCCCCGCCCCCCCTGCTGCTCCTCGTCCCGAGCCTCGGGCTGCGGGACATCCGTCCTGGGCAGCTCTGAGCTGTGACTGATGGCAGGACACGTTCCTGGGCCTCGGCTGTGACCCGCAGGTCTGCGGGCACCGGCCCGTGCAGCAGGATCCCGCCCTGCCCAGTGCTGCTGCCCCGCTGGGTTCTCCCGGGAGAGCCACCTCGTAAGTCCCTGTCACTGGGATGCTCACTCTCTCAGCGGACGGGCCGGGACGTGGCCAGGGCCTTCGGCGTCTCAGCCGTCTCACATCTGCAGTGGGAGCCACTGCTCCTGGTTTGCCCGTGTCCCTGAAAGTCAGTAACGGTGAGAACAAGGAAGTGTGAGCACGTGTGGGTGCAGACGGTGACCTGTCAAGCAGGGTTCCTTCAGGCTGGCGGGGTCCCGGGCCCCTGGGGGGACGGGTGAGTCAAGTGTGCAGAGTGTGGGACAGTGGCCCCAGGGACGTCCAGGGGAGAGGAGGGAGACAGAGGTGCAGGAGGGGACTTGCTGGTTGAGCCAGGCCTTTGCGTGTCCCCAGGGCAGAGCCACTTCATGGGCGAGGAAGCCCTCGAGATGGGAGCAGCCACAGCCGGCACCCAAGGTGGCTGCAGGGACCCGTGGGCCGGAGCAGGGAGATGCAATCTGGGTGAGCGAGGGCTGTTCCGTGTCATTATACTGGGATGTTTTTGTGAGTATCTAGCGGTAGAT